GGAATCAACAAGGGCTCGCAGCATGTCCTCGTTAACTCTAGTGTTGAGTAGCGGCAGAAGATCTCCGTACTTGGCAATAAAAGCAGCGGGGTTCCTGACAAGGACTGCCAGGATCCTGAGGTTATCCTGTATTAGGCTTAGAAATGAAAACATGCTTCGGCGTTGTTCACCCCAAAATTTGCCCAACCTTTCGTTACCCAGCTTGTGTTTCATTTCATTCACATTAGCATTATCATTTGCATTTCATTGACATGTGTGCAGGAGATCAGGAGGTATGATTACCAATCAAGAGCTATACAAGACTATGAAGCTAGCTAAGAGGCTTATCCAAGTGTTCAAGGATTGATATCCTCACCAAGGAAGTCTAAGATCCTCAGAAAGAGTGGTGGAAACCAAGAGTGTATGTCTCCTAACTTGAGAGTTGTGAGAAGCCATCAGATGATTCTGAAGCCATGAAGTTGGACTTGAGGTCTTGAAAGAGCTAATGAGAAATGTTAAAGTTCATTTGGGAGCTCAGACAAGTCCTTATGCAAGATTAAGAAGCCTCAGCCATGATTGGTGCAGCTAGGGTTTGACTAGGTTTACCCTAAGTCAACTGATGATTTGAAGAAGGTTGAGACCTAATCCAAGAGCCATGTGATCATGGATTGATACCTTGAGATGTTATAAGGATGATTCCAATGTTAACTCATCATGATTGAAGAGTTTGAAAAGTTTTAGGCTAGGGTTTCTAAGGCTTGACAGTGTAAAATCCCCTAGCTTGACCCCTGACTTCAAGACCACTTAGCTCAAGATGTGATTTTCACCTCATCTTGACCCCAACATGATTGTTGTAGATCATGATCTTAGCTTTAATTTGAGTACTATAAGTACTTGATAGGGTTTATAGAACTCAAGTTATGAGCCAGACAAGTTACAAGTCATCTGAGGCATGTGAATTTGGAGCTTGAAAGTTACCCAACTTGCATGACACTTTTGCCCTAGAAGGATGATTCCTATGAACTTTTGGTCAAAATGAATGTTGATCCTTATTCTCTTAGATTTCTAAAGAGTACTAGAAGTCCATGTTTGGATTTGTAGAACTCAAGATATGGCTTTGACAAGTCAAGGGTATTTTGGGCATTTGGCATTATAGGTCATTTTGAATTATGGGCCCATTTCACTATCTTGCAAGCTTCAAATGAAGTTTTGTTCAACTTGAAAGTTGCTCAAAATGATGTTTTAAGCTCAACCAAGTATCAAGAGTTCACTGATATGGATTAGAGCAAGCATTGGTTGAAGGAATTTCTCAAAAAGGCCATTTTAATGAATTAAAATGGAAAAATTCAAAACAATTGTAATTTGGATGTTTTCAAGCCAAATCGGTACTCATTTTGATTGGAAAAGAAGATCTAAGCACTTTTGCATTGTTAGAATTTTGAGTTGATACTCATATCATGGCCCTTTGGTGGATTACTTCATGATGAAGTAACAAATCAAACACACATCTTTGGTTGAAATCAAAGGACGGAACTCATTCAATTACACTCTACACACTCAATGCAAGTGATCGGAAGCAAGTTTGAGTTTAAAACAAGGAAAATTCGTGGCTTCCATAATTAGATTTTTGAGAAAAAATTGAAAGTTGGAAATCATAAATTGGGCCATGAATGGGCCCCCAATGGATCAAAACAGATTATAAAAGAGATTTGGATCATTTTCAGAAGCTTCTAGTGCCATTTTCAGTTGAGAAACAGTTGGATTCAGTTGGGAAGAAGCTGGAAGATTTGATTTTCGAGTTTGGAGATTGAAGGGGTTTCAGAAGAAATTGAACATCAAGAACTCTCCATCATCATTCAGTGGAAGATTCTGCATCTTTTGGAAGCAAGTGGAGCCCTGAAGAACACCATACGCGAAGCTCCGAATCAGGTTTCTTCCTCGCAAAATTCCTCTTTAATTATGCACTTTCCAAGCCTTAGATACATCTGGTTAGGATCTACTTAAAACATAGATGGATTTTGTATAAATTTCGTAGTGAATCGTGACACTTTGTGACGTAGCATCCCAAGTTGTAGTTTAGATATCTCCCTGGATAGTGGTTAAAAATGAAAACAAATCATAGATTGGTGACCTAGGAAGAGAGACGAGTTATTTGGTATAAGAAATCGCGAGTTTCATTGAGTTTTGTGGAAGGCCACTGTTCCCGTCGCAAGGTAGGAGATGACCGGCGCTAGGTCGGCCACCGTCTGAAATTACAGAACCACCGTGTGGTATTCCCTCTGTTTTAGTGTTTTAAATTACCAGCTTCGTTCGTGGCCGTTAGATCTTACTGTTGAGTGGACTTTGTATGTGCATCTCACGACTTAGATGAGTACCACGTGTAGCTTCCATTCAGCCATTCCCATTCTAAGTGAAACACAGAGTTTCGTTAAATGAAACTCTGGGCTTTGATCCCAAGTGTTATCCACACCCCACGCGCATAGGCCCATTGCAGTTAACACATGGAATCGTTACTCCACGCACCCCCTGGCCTGCTTCATTTAGTGAATAAAAAGATGAATTAGTAATCAGTTGGGCTTCATCCCAAGCGTTGTTCGCACCCCCTATGCATGGCCCAAATGTGAACAACACGCGTAGATATTACTAGTTACATCGCCTGTTCCATTTAATTTCTTTTTCTTTTTTATTTTTTAGTTGATACTAGTTTAGTTTTAATTCCAGAAAAATATGAAATGTTGTCAATAAATATTGAAATAAATCATGTGAACACTTTTATATGTTTAGAATTTTCTCACTTTTTTAATTTCTATTTTCATGTATTCTCAATTAATGGCATATTTTCTATTTTAGTATGTTTTTAATAATTGGATGATTGTATGCTGAGCTTGATGATTTTATTTCTCATTCATGCTTTTGAGTTTGACATTGAAATTTTGTGTGCTGGTGATAGACATGTTGATGATGTTATATTATTTTTGTTGTGAATTTTAGATGATTTTAAATAGGACTTTAGGATAGATGTTTAGGAGTATTCATTGTTGGATCCCTTTAGTGTACCCTTGAGGTTTTAGATTTAGTTTGAGCCTTTTGATTTAGGTTTAGCCTCTGATTTTTGTACCATAGAAAGTTGATACATGTAGGATGATGTAGTATTTTCCTTGGAATTTTTAGGAATGATTTTCTGTTAGTTCCCCATTTTACAAATTGGCCTTAGTTTAGGTGATCCTAACTAGGTTAAGTGCATAGATTAGTCTTGTAAATGACCATTAGATGATTCTAGGTCCCATTTCCTTTCTTGATAGATTGGTAATTAGGTAGATACCTCTTTTAGAGCCCTCGAATCCTTAGTGTAGGTGATCCTTAGAAGGTAATCTTTGAGGTTCTTTAGAAGATTAAGTAGGTGGATGATTCTTCCTATAGGGGTAGTTTCCTCTTCAATTTTCCTTGCTTGATTGGAATCCTCCTTGTGAGCATGTTTCCTCCTATGGAGGAATACATTGCATCATCATAAAGGGGTTGAGTTTATGAAAGCTCTCTCTAAGGAAGTGGAGTTGGTTGAGTGCCTGTGGTAAGTTCCTATGGAACTTACCTTGCTTCTCATTTTCTTTCTCCTAATATTCTCTTATTCCATTCTTTTTTACGAACCTTCTTGGGGTAGCATAGTCCCTCCTGTGGGGGGAATGTTGCACATCTCTTGAAGGAGCCAAACCTTTAGGATTCCCCCAAATCTCTTTTAGTTGGTTGAGTGCCTGGGATAAGTTCCTGTGGACCTTACCTTTGCCTCCCAACACCCAATTTCTTTCCTTAGGATAGAAGCCTTGTTTGATTACTTGTGGATTGAATTCCTTATTTGTCATAAGTCCTTTCCCTCATTCATGATTGAGTGGTGTGTTGCATTAGGATAGTTCATGTTTATGACAGTTTAAGTGTAGGTGCATGACTGCATTAAGAGGTTGAGTGAGTCTCCCTCTGCTTGTTTGCCTTAAGGGTTGAGGTGATCCTCCCCTTGCTTGTGTGTTGTTTTTCTTTTTCTAATTGACGTATTTGCATAATAGAGGTTGAGTGAGCTCCCTCTGCTTGTCTGTTTTGACTGTTTTTTCTTTGCTTGATTGCTAAGAGGTTGAGTGGGTCTCCCTCTGCTTGTATTGCTGCATTGCATGTACATCTTTACTGTTTACTGTTTATCTGTTCAAGATGATGCTTTATCTGTTTCTGTATACCATTGACATGATCCCCTAGGAATCTCACTTCCTTTAATAAGGAAGTGATGATTAGAACTTTAGGTTGAAACCTATGCATGATAACATACAGGAGTTCCCTGTTTCAAACCTCAACCATAGGATGAATCCTTGGTGTTATACCCCAAATTTGTCCTACCTTTTTTCAAAATTTTCATTTGCCCGACTTTGTTTTTAATTTACCTCGCTTATACAGCGTAGCGTATTTTTTCAACAAAAATGAGCATTTTCACTTTTTGGCCCAATAAAAGTGTGCCACGTGGCATTTGTTTTTTGTATCATTATTTTTGTTTCATAATTTCTTTTTATATGTTAATATAATATATTTTTAATATTAATTTTAATTAGATTTTAAGTAAGAATTATTAGAATATTGATTAGAATTTTAAAATAGAGTTTAGATTTTTTTTTTATTTAAAAAAAAAATTAATTAACATACAATTTAAGTTAGAATTGTAAATAGAATTAGAGTTAGAATTTTTATTAGAAATTAAAATTAAGTTCGAATTAAATTAGAAATAAAAATAAGTTTATTAATTTAATTTATTATTCATAAAGTTAAAAGAAAAATAAAAATGAATGTAAAAAAAGGGACACGGTAGATATTTTGGAGAAAATTAGGGTTACTAGGTTAGAAACTTGGGGTATAAATGTGGTTACTGTTCATCTTCATGGAGAGAGGAGAATCCCCAAATCGGCCGCCGAAAAAAACCTGACTCATCTTCCCATTCAACATCTAAAAACCCTAGATTTCCAACTCTGAAACCCTACGTTCTCCAAGCCATGGAAGATAAAGTAATTGATATACTTACTGAAAAGTTCAATCGCTTTGTTATTAACTGCAATTTGAATTCCTCATCAGATAATTCAACAGAACAGTTGAATGAAACTTCAGATAGTATGGATGAGAAAACTATGTCCAGTGTAGTCCATGAAACTTCTCCTTATGAAAGTTCATCTTATGAGGGTCATACTCTACCAATATTGAAAAAAATTCTTGACCTAAGTACCAAAGCTCAGGATTTGAAGAAAGAGCATGTTTCCCTTCGTAATCAAGTGAAACTCACATTTGAGTCTTTTGATGATCTAGGTGTTTTAAAGTCTATTCAGCTTCTAGGTGCTGAATATGAACTTTTGAAAAGAAAGTACATAGATGAGTCATTTAAGCGTAGGCGGCTTAACAATGAAGTGGTTGAACTCAAGGGTAATATACGAGTTTTCTGTAGATGTCGACCATTAAATGAAAACGAAATTGCTAATGGATCAACATCCGTTGTCAAGTTTGAGTCAACTGCTGAAGAAGAGCTTCAAGTTATATGCTCCGATTCTTCTAAAAAAACAATTTAAATTTGACTATGTATTCAAACCCTAAGATAGTCAAGATGTTGTTTTTGCACAAACAAAGCCTATCGTTGGATCAGTATTAGATGGGTTCAATGTGTGCATTTTTGCATATGGGCAAACTGGTACGGGTAAGACCTTTACCATGGAGGGAACACCAGATAATCGGGGAGTTAACTATAAAACCCTCGAGGAATTGTTTCGGATTTCTGAAGAGAGACAAGGCACAATAAAATATGAATTGCTTGTTAGTATGTTGGAGGTTTACAATGAAAAGATCAAAGATCTCTTGGCTGAAAATTCTTCTGAAACCACTAAGAAGTTGGAGGTAAAGCAAGCTGCAGATGGAAGCCAAGAAGTACCAGGACTTGTTGAAACTCGTGTTTATGGAGCAGATGGTGTTTGGTAAATTTTGAGGTCTGGAAACAGAGTCAGATCAGTTGGTTCAACAAGTGCTAATGAGATTAGCAGTCGTTCTCATTGTTTGGTGCGGGTAACCGGTGTAGGGGAGAACTTAATCAATGGTCAGAGAACAAAAAGTCATCTTTGGCTAGTAGACTTGGCTGGCAGTGAGCGCGTGGGGAAAACTGAAGCTGAAGGAGAAAGGTTGAAGGAATCTCAGTTCATAAATAAATCTTTATCCGCACTCGGCGATGTTATTGCAGCCCTTGCCTCCAAATCAGGCCACATACCTTACAGGAACTCGAAGCTCACTCATATACTTCAGAGCTCGTTAGGAGGTGATTGCAAAACTCTTATGTTTGTCCAAATAAGTCCTAGTTCAGTAGACTTAACAGAGACGCTTTGTTCACTGAATTTTGCCACACGTGTTCGAGGAATTGAGAGTGGCCCAGCCCGCAAGCAAGTAGACCTCACTGAAATCTTGAAGTACAAGCAAATGGCTGAAAAATCCAAACAACTAAAAGATTTCGCTTACTCGACTTCGCAACAGTTTCTTTTACCAAACATATGCTCTCCTTGTCTTCATTTTTTTCCAGGTCTGCCGCATCTTCAATGGCGCTTTTGTAGCAACAAACTTCCAGAAACAAGGAACCTGCATCAAATGCAGCAACACTAGCTCAACATCACATTCAATAGTTTCGATTCAAAGCAAGGCACACGTCGCGAGAACACCGTAGCAACCTTAAAAGCACCTTAATTCAGCAGCAACTAATAGCATTTGTGGATTTAACACAACAGCAACACCATTATCGATTCAAAACCAGTCGCATATCGAACCGGTCCCTAATTGCAGTTTTGTTGACGGTTGGTGTGTTTCTTTTACTCTTCAATTGTCACTATGTTTGATTATTGTTAATGATGCTCTGCTACATTTTTATCATGTATCCAAGGCCAAGGCTGATTTGTGTATTTGAGTTGTTGTGTTATTTCAATTTCAATTGTTATGTTATGATGTCTCAGTAAATATTGCAAAAAGACAATGTTGTTGTGCTGCTGCGGCTGGTTGTGTTTCCAGTTCCTACTTATTTGTTCTATTTAATTCATATGATGTGTGGAAAGCTTGTGCATCATACTATCGTAAGTGTTTTGCTACCTGGTTTAGTGAGGCAATTATAGCCTTGGAAACTTGTAAATTATTGTTGGTTATTGTTTTCCTGCTACATTTTTCATAAGGATTGTATATTCAGTATTTCCCTTGGCTCGCGAATGACAGTCGTTGATTGGAGTATATTGTGTGGTTTCTGATTCATGGATTTATAATTTGAACATGTTAAAACACTGCCAAGCGTGATGCTAGTGTCTTATTTTCGTTTCTCTTACTAGTAGTGTATCATTGTTGTTCTGTTTTTTTTGCCTTTTAAATCATTGTACGAGTTAAACTCAATTTGTAGGATCAACATTTTTTGATAGTTTTTATGTTATAAGCTTGTCCTTACGATGATGTTACTGCTTCCGTATTGCACTAGTCAGTATAGCGACATTACCATAGTTTTGCAAATTATGTTAAACATGATAACAACAGCTTGTAGTAGCAGAAGTCTGGCGACTTGATTACGTGTGTATTTTGATTGACTCTTATTGGAGCTGCAACCGCAAGTGTTCATGGAGAAACAACTATACGACCCTGCCTTACTAGTTTCCTGTGAGCAACAAACTGGAGCAGCAATAGCTATTGCAGATGCGATGTGTAATGGCAACATTTAGCAACAACGCGTCATAAGCCAGAATGCCTTAGCAGCAACTCCGTAGCGTGGGACGATACAAGCATTTCAGGGAAGATTCTTTCCAGACTATTAATCGTTTCGCATTCGAGAGTTGTTGAATGGTGAGCTCATGGTCATGGATGTTTAGTTTTTCAACAAGGTCAAGGATGTTTAGCTTTTCAACAAGGTCCAATTCAAATTCTCTTCTTAATTTCTGTTTTTAGAAGAATCTTATTATACAATACAAGGATTTTTTTTTTAAAAAAAGAAAAATTGCTTTGAATTTAATTTAATTATTTAACTCAGCTGAATATTTTTGTTAAAATCAATTAGTGGGATTAATCAATCAATTACTTAATTTTATTAATAAATCTTAATTAACTTAATTATTTGACTTAATTAAATAATTTTGATAATTGATTTGGATTAATTCAATTAAGTGGCTTAATAAACTTTAACGAATTTGACTTTGATAAATAGAATTGGACTAAGATTAATGGATTCCTAAAACTCAAGTCTATGTCGATTATGCCACTAAAATTTCTTACACATTAATTGAATTTTTCGCCGCGCTACGAAAGTGGTGGGGTTCTTGAGGTCTAGCACCCCTTGGGCCCTTGGACAACCGCTCTCGAGGCGTACGCCTTGAGTTATGGTGGTTCCGTCTTTCGGGTTCTAAAATGTTTTTTCACTCAAATTAAAATTTACAAAAGATATTTTTAAATCAATTTTATTTAATTATATATTTTTATAAGGAATTCCAATTATTCTTTCTTTTAAAAAATATATTTCAAAATTATTACCAAATAATATTTTAAATATTAAACTTAAACAAAACTACTTTATTAACAAAGTTAAAATATTTTTTCTAAGATATTAAACTTTTTTCAAAACAATTAAATATGACTAGCTTTTCTCAAAATCTTTTTATAAACAATTGATTAATTTATTTCTATATATGAAAATTAAAATTAGTTTTCTTAATTAAATTATACTATTTTTCTCAAACAAATTTCAAAACAATTAAATTCTTGGATCTCGCCTTCCTTGAATTTTTAAGCAACCGCTCTCGAGGTGCACACCTTGAGTTGTGACCCTTCCGATCTTACATTTCTAGAATACCTAGCGCGCCTAGTCTGAGTATGCTAAATTATTCAAATTATTTTCTAAATCAAATCACGAAAGAATCGAGTTCTTGGAGTCGCGCATTCCTCGAATTTGAGAGTGACTACTATTGAGGCGTACGCCTTGAATGATGTGCCGTTCGAACTTTCGTTTCTAAAATATTTCCATAATTATTTGGACAAGTATTTACTGTCCAACAAACACTATTTCATAATTAATGGGATGAAAAGATGTCGTTGGGATCTAGCATTCCAACGATACCCCGATTAATTGATTGCGAGGCCGACGTCTCGTTTATCGAGTAGTCGTCATTCTCTCTTCAAATATTCAATCCAACTCTCTTCTCTCGCCCTCGCGCGATTGAAACTTTCTCAAACATATTTCGTAATTATTGAATGAAAAAGGTATCGTTGGGATCTAGCATTCCAATGATATCCCGATTAATTGATTGCGAGGCTGACGTCTCGTTTATCGAATAATCGTCATTCTCCATCAAATTACCTAACCAAACTCCTCTTTCTCGCCCCCGTGCGATCGAAACATTAAACCTATTCAAATCCATTCTCTTTCCTAAGCCAAAACATCAAATACGATAAACCTAATTCCTCGCCCTCGTGCGATTTCTAGCCCAAACACTTTCCAAAAGAACATTGTTTAGTCCCTTCTTCCACGCATAACAAACTCGTGCTTCAGCCTCCCCTACCGAGCAGACAAGCAAACATTTAGCAGTTAGAATGCGACCTAAACACTCGTTCGTTTACCAACCTTTTACCGTAGTTAGCCGAACTACGGCTGCTCTGATTTCTCGTACCAGACGAGAATATGTAGGCATAGGATTGCGATAATCCTAGCGAGCATTTTTTCCCCTTTCCTGTAGTTAGCCGAACTACGGCTGCTCTGATTTTTCATTCTCTTCCGAATGTAAGATACGTAGGCACAAGATTGCGATGATCTTGGCGAGCACAATCCCCCTTTTACCCGTAGTCCCACGAACTACGAATGCTCTAATTTTCCACTTCTTACAAGTGAAGATACGTAGGCACAAGGGCCCCAATCCTTGGCGAGCACCCTATCTTAAAACCCACCATTCCCCCCTATAGGAGAAACCTTAGAAGAAAACTAACAAGCTAGCTAACTTTACTCTCAAATCGAATCAAGAGGTTCCCGTTGAGTTCAACGGACGTAGAGGGTCTTAATACCTTCCCTCTGCGTAACCGACTCCCGAACCTAGAATATTGGTTGCGATGACCATGTTCTTATCTATCTTAAAGGTTTTATCGATATTTTCCTATTCCATCCTTGGAATGAATAAAGTTAGGTGGCGACTCTGTTCGAACGTATTTTCCACGTCCATCGCGAGGATCGTATTTTTCGAGGTACGACAGATGGCGACTCTGCCGGGGATTCGCATTGCCCTATGCAAGATAGAGTCAAGCCTAACTTGACTCGATTTGAGAGAGTACTAACCTTTTGCTTAACTGTTTTCTTTATGTTTATTTTCTTCTGTTCTTTATTTATTGCTTTCTCTTTCTATTGTATGCTGTTTGTTGTATCTGCTTGCTGGATTCTGGGAAAACATTGCAAGTAAAGCTCTACACCCGAGCTTTGGAAAAAGAAGAGAGAAAACATAATTTAGAATTGGTAGTCGAGTAGTGTTAGTCCCCAAGGACTCGCTCCTTGTGTGCCTAGCATGAAAGCTCCTCTAGAATAGACCTT